TTTTTTTTTTTTTTTTTTTTTGCTCTCTTCCCTCAATTTGGTACACAGAATAAAAATGGATGGATCAAAAATCACCATTTTTGCTCTTTCAAGAACCATTTCTTTGTTGTGTATGCAACGTTTTGTATATATATTTGTATATATTATATATCTATTTGTAGACACTAACAAAGATACATACCAACAGACACAGGAACACAGACATACAAACACAGATAGACAGACACAAACATCATATATATATATATTATACAGTTCTTAATGCTCACAAGATCTGTTATACTGATCGTTGTTGATACAGTTCGTCAATTTCTTTTTCGTTCAATTCTTTTGCTAATATTGTTTCTACCGCTTTTACTGTGCTTTTTTGCTGCTGCTGTTGCTGTTGCTGCATTTCATTGCTTGCTATCCATTCACATGCCTATATTGCGGTCTTTAATTAAACATTTCTTTTATCGTATCCGTCATTAACTTTCTTTTTTTTTTTTTTTGGGGACTGATATATGTGTTTCTGTTGTTTAAAAAGAAAAAAAAAAGTTGGAACAGGAAGCTCATTAAGGTTTTCTATGGCAAAGAAGGTTTTTTTTTTCTGCCATACTTGTGTGCCTAATGCTGAAATATTAAAAAAATGTAAGGGGAAAAAAAGATTAATTGAAATTGAACAATTGTTAATTCTTATAAATATTTTTGGAACTCATCAGCGTTTTTTTTCCAAGCATCAAAATTACTTCTAAGCGGATTTGCATATAATGTTGCAAATGATCCTTTGATTTTTTTCTAATCGTTTTTGTTTCGATTTATCAATGCTATTATTGTTGCTGTCGTTATTGTTATTGCTGTTATTATTGCTGTTGTTTTTGTTGTTATCCTTTTTGCTATTGTCGCTGTTGTACGCTATTCATATTGACAGTGTTAAAGAATCTTTTTCTAGAGATGTTAGGCCATTTGCAGGTAAGGCTAAATGTGTTCACAATTTTTTTTTGGCTTCAATTTTTCAGTGAGAAGTAGCACATTTGATCAGCTAAGAATTGCCGCATACAACAAAATTTTCGCATTATAAATCCTTTTAACACTGTAAACTGTTTTTTTCGATGTTTTTATGAGCCAGTACGACGAACTTGTCAGCAAAGCAAGTCTAACGAAAAATTTGGTTTATCGTTGTTTTCTTCCGGTAAGTTTTTTTTCTTCTGAATGTCGTATCCTTTAGTTAATTATGTACTTAGTAAATGACAGCTTTTTTATTTTTTGATCTTTGTTATTGTGATATGATAATAAGCACTTTAGAAGTTTTACCAAAATTAAGCTTGTATTAATGTTTATTTTAGAACGAGTATTATTAGCTGATGGTGTCACGTGAAACATAAATGTCCTTTAAAGTTTTTTGATCCTGGTGCATACACTGCCGATAGAAAATGTTCACTGTGTCTGGCAATTTATGTGGTCGCCTTGCCGAAGTAATGGCTAACAGGCTTTACTTGTGCTCATTCTATGACCACCCAGAGTCTAATGATCAAATTTGGTACTATTGTGTTGATGAAGACGTACACTATGACAACTATTATACAGATTTCGGACCACTTAACCTCTCTGTACTGTACAGATTCTGCAAGAAGTTGGATGAGAAATTGAAGGTTGCTGTTTCATTAATACTATTTTTGGGTCTAGCACTACGTAGTTTAGAAGCGTTTTTTTTTCTTTTTTTGTAATTTTCTGCGTATGTTATGTGGTTTTTCAAATATGGGTTTCTTCATTAGAAACGACTCATAGATTACTTGTTTTGACAGATTTGTTTTTATCATTTCTTTTGCTAACCTGTTTCGTTAACAGTTCAGTAGGCTTGTTTAGGCTTTGAAAGGTAAAAAGGTTATAGTCGTTTATTCTGCACCGACAGATGAGGCTCGTGCGAATACTGCATATCTCATTGGAGCTTTTTGTGTAAACATTTTTATTCTTGAAATTAGGCTCTATTTTTGAAATTCGTTTTGAATTTTATTGTAAGTTAACTAAGTATTTGGGATGTTAATACTGAAGAGAATGCGAAGTCTAATTGACTGATTAAATATGAGAAAGATATTCTTGCCAAAAGTTACTTAGCGATCACCACAACTCACTAGATTTTGTATTATTGTATTTTAGATCATATATCTATTTATGCCAGCTGCAGTTGCATATTTTCGCATTCATAAGGCAGCTCCCTCTGGGTTTATAAGTTTCAGAGACGCTTCTATGGGTCCACAAGTTTATAATCTTCATCTTCGTAGCGTATTGAAGGGCGTTGAAAAGGTTTTTTATGAGCATTATTTTTTGAGCTGGCCAGTTTAAAACCTTTTTTTTGATGAATTTTTGGATTGAAATTGTTCTAACACTAATTAAACTTTTTAAATCTGAAGCGGTAAATAATTTAACACCTTACTTTAGAGTAACAGTCACATTTGGCTCAGTGAAAGGCATATTATATTTTACTCAATATTTTAGGCATCTAAGCTTAAATGGCTTTGTTTTGACAGTTTTGATCCAGATGAATATGAGTATTATGAAAAAGTAGAGAACGGTGACCTGAATTGGATTATTCCTAATAAGATACTTAGTTTCTGTGGGCCGCATAGCCGATCAGCTGTAGAAAATGGTAAATTTAGCTTATTGTTTATGTTTATTACCTTTCTTCTTCAAAAGCACAGTTTCTGTGGGTGTTGAAATCTAATTTTTTGCTCACCCTCCCGTTTTCTAGGTTACCCTTATCACTGTCCAGAGGTGTACTTTGATTATTTTAAAAGTCATGGCGTCACTACAATAATTCGGTTGAATAAGAAAATGTATGATGCAAGAAGGTTTGTTTTTCTTGTTTTTTGAAGGGCAAATTATGTTTTGAATTAATCAAGCAGTTGGCAGGAACTGGAGTCCAACAGTAACCGACTTTGATTTTGAGAAAATAGTTACGTGTTTAACCTTATTCGTTCCCTTAATGTTTTTACTGTTTTGCTGGTAGCAACTTTTCGACTTTATATGATTGTCTAACTAACATTTATTTCTTATTGAGAGAAGTATTGATATATCAGTCATTTTCAACGTTGAACTCATTTTTAAGTTGTTTTTCTTTTGATAGAAAGCTTTCAAGAATCTCGTTCTGGTTGAACTTTAAATTGGAGGGAAAAATTTATTCAAACTGTATTTAAGCAATTAATTTTGACTGTTAATTCTATTTTCTAAAGCTCATCTGATTCCTCTTACCGCTTCATGCTCAATAGGCTTCCCTACGTCCCTCATATTTATGAAATTCACTCCTGCTTTTCACTTTGTTAGCGGCAAAACCATGTTTATGACGTGATCTTTTTTTGGACTGTCCAAGAATTATGAGCTAATGTTGTTTCTTTTTTTACGTTAGCTGGTATATTGACTCTGCCGATGGCCATTGCGTACTCAACTTTTTGGCAAACGGTTCGCATTGGTTATTACTGTTGATAAGTAGTAATCATAATTGTTTATTGTCTTACAAGGTTCTTTCAGGTTTACTAGAGCAGGATTTAATCATGTCGATTTATTTTTTGTTGATGGCTCGACACCATCCGATGATATTGTTGAACGATTTATTGATGTTGTTGATTCGGTTAAAGGGGCAGTCGCAGTGCACTGCAAGGTTTTCTCAAAGCTTTGCGTTTCCACCTTTGTTTTATGGGAACAGTTTTTTCAGAATTTAATGAGGAATCACAAAATTAAGTTTTTTTCGTGTTTCTTACATCTCCGTTTTAGGCTGGTCTTGGTAGGACTGGAACTTTAATTGCTTGCTGGATGATGAAGGAATACGGTGTAACTGCTGCGGAAAGCATGGCGTGGCTAAGGATTTGTCGTCCTGGCTCTGTAATTGGACCACAGCAACAGTTTCTGATAGGGAAACAGCCGTGGTGTTGGGCAATGGGTTCTTCAAAAAAGTATTCAGTTACGTCCTGTCTTTCTGGACTAGCTTCTAAGGTTTTTTTTTTAAAAGTATTGCTAATGACTTGTTATATTTTAACGGAAGGAAATACTACAGTTTTATACGCTTTCTGCAATATTGACTTCGTTAACCCCAAAATCAGAGCATACTTTTAGGATTTTTTGCACGTATTGTACAGATGTAGTGTTCTGAAAATAGTCTAGCAGACTTTTTTCTACATTTGCCAAGATTTACGGTTACGTAGTTGCTTAGCTCTTCATTCAAGAGTAGGCTAATCCATTTCTTCATTTCATTCAAGTGAGTAAGAGTAAAGTAATGTAGTTCTTTGTTGCTTTCTTCTTTTTACAGCAATCGATTATGCGTTTACTTTGGAATATGTAAACGAACTGGTTTATAACGTGATAGATTTAATATCTGATTTTTTTATAGGTCGATGAAATAAAATTAGCAGATACTGGTAAGAATAAGGTTTTGAGACCGCTGTCGTTTGTTAAAAATGACCAACAGGTCGCACCGGTGGACGATGAGGTTGATAATTTTTCATTTATGTTATGAGCTTCATCAAGTAATTCACATTGTTTATACTTGTTTGCAAAAGATGAGGGACTTTGTCATTAATATTAGTTTTTTACAGTGTGCAGTAGACGAAATGGGACGTACGCAGGGTGACCGTTTGTTGGCAATGAAAGCAAAAGCGCAACACCACTTAGTGGCTGAATATTCTTCACCTACTACACTGGTAAAACCAATCTCAGGGCAGAGTAAAGCTTCCAGTGTCCATTCGCCTCAGCTTCTGCGATGTGGAGTGCATTCTTCAGTTCCAGTTCGTTCTCCTTTTGTAGCTCTTTTTCTTCTGAAAAGAGGAATTTAATAAATAATGCGCGCATTGTTTTAACTGATGGTTTTTCTTTCTTTGAAATAGCTTTTCTATTTCGGAGTTTTGGAAACTAAGAGGTCGGCACGTGTCATTCAACGTTTCTTGTTACGATAGATATACTTGAAGTTCGAGGTGTATATTTTTGTTAAGCTTTCGTTTTTGCTTGGTATCGGTGATTATATGTGCGTTTAGATATCGCGGGTCACTGTAATGTCTGTTTCTCCTCGTGCCTCGTCAGCGAAGTCTAAGCCAGTGCGAAGGTTATCTGGGTAAGTCTCATAGTTTTCTGACTTTAAGAGTGGGGCTTAAAACTTATTCTAGCTATTGCATTATTAATCTGAGAAATTAATAGGTTGCGGAGCAAACCATATCCACACTCATCTGTTAAAGTGCAGATAACTCCTTCTGTGTACGAGCTGAGATCTAGAGTTAGTGCTGCACTTGAAGGTGCAAAAGCTGGCAGCAGTAAGGGGGAGCTTGTTGCGGTTTGTTTACTTGTCATTTCTTTATATTTCCTTTAGTTTAGGCGGGGTCTACTAGGCATTTGTTTTCTTTATATTATATAAATTCTTCTTTTCTTTGATAAATTTTTTTATGTTCCAGACTCGTTTAAAAAGTCGCTTGAAGTAGTTTTGAAGGCCCTCGATTTTATGGGAACAACTGTGATAAAAGATGGGCTTTCTTTCTTAACTGGGTAAAGTTATGAATTGCAGTTTCTATGATGTTTACATTACGTTTGCTACGCTCTTTACCTCATATGCACTGAGTTTTTTGATATGGGCAAGAAAGACTTGGTTAATTTTGTAAATATATAAAGATTTTTATGCCTTTATAAATAATGCTTTTTTATTTTTGATCCATTGTTGGTAATTTCAAATGCAGGTTTGTGTTTCGTTCCTGAACTTTTAGAATTTTTGCCATACATGAATCCATGACCGTAGGTCTAAATATTTTTGAATGATTTTTATGTTGCCTTAAGCGTAAAGAAGGTCGATTTTCACTTCTCTTATATCGATACCTGGCTTGCCTTACTATATGTCAAGAAATTTTTGTTTATTCTACTTTAAAATTTGCTTAAATAATTGGCAAATTGTATTGAGAATTTTCACTGCAAAAAAGTCTTGTTATAATGAAGTTTGTATATTTTGGCCATTAATTAATTGTGATAGTGGCAGTGCTTAGTGAATTTTTAGCTTAGTGGAATTGTTTAGATAATGGCTAAGTGTCAGTTATTTTTATTGAGAGTTGTTGATATTTTAGAATTTCATACACTGTTTAAAAGCAGATCTAACTACACTAGACCGTTGTACACTTGCTTAATATTGCCTTTCGTTTTTTTTTTTTTTTTTTCAGTTCTTGTTTTAGATGTCTTCAGTGATTTCTCCTCAGGTTTACCATTTGATTTTTATTACGTTCCTATTTTGCATACCCATATTCTTAAATTTCCAACAGTTACTGCTGTAAGATGAAGGTTTCACTGCGTCGCGTTCTGTGCTTCTTTTTGTCTAATATACGTTTGCATTTAGTTTTAAAAAATTTGCTCTTTGTCATCTCAATTGATTAACAATTTATAAAGCTTGTTTTATTTGACATTTGTAAAGACTGCAAGTCCATTCTCAAGAGATCGTGTTTTCCTTCTCATCCTCTGTTTAAATATAAAGAGATTTACCTTATAATGTGGGGCTTTCTCGAGTAGTTCACGTGTGTTGAGATTCTCAAAATTTTGTGTGTTATTAAACTGAAGTGGCGGACGCATTTCCCAGCTTAAAGCGCCTTGGTTTTTTTTTTTTTTTTTTTGTGGTATCATCATGTTTAGCAGCCATGACTTATGGAGTTTTTTCAGCATATGTCGGGTGAAATACTTTCAGATTGCTGGTCGATGGGGATGAGTCGTAAAAGACGAAGAACTCGTAAAATAGGGACTAGAAGTTGAACCGGGTTTCAACTGTTGTTGGAGCTGATAAGTTGCATGTTATGTTCTACCAGCCGAACCAAGTTTTATATTACTTTGTCTAATTTTTTTTAGTGTAGAAGGGAAAAACTGATAATTTGTATCTCGCCTTTTAATAACTGGGAGGCGATATGAACAGTAAGACTAATATTTCAATCCTCTCACTTTAAAGTTCATAATTGTTTGCAGAATTTGCAGAACAATGATGAATTAGGAATGTGTCCGGAGGTGAAAAAAAATGAAGGCAATTATTAAGTCGACAAAAGAAGCGTAACTGAAAATAATAAAATTTTTCAAAACTCCAACATTTGAACAACACTTGGTTTTCTTACTAATAATGTGTATTTGAAAAGCCAAGCGTTGATTAGACGTAAAGTAAGCTGCAGGAAGTGTTCCTTCGTTTCTCTGCCTGACGCTATAATGTTTTTCTAATACTCGCTACATCTCTACTACAGAATCAACTAATTCTCTAAGTTTTTAACCGTTTGTCTCATCACTGTTTAGAAGTCGTTGTGAGTGCAAAAGAACTTTTCTCTGCTCATAGACAGTTAAAAATTTTTCACACTTTCCTTCTTAACCACACATTCCAGATGAAGGCAATTCAATTTAAAGCAGTATGCAAGAGAGCAAAGATTAGCGTATAAGGGAAACTGAACACAATGTTGCAAAGTTATAAAAACTGGCCGTTATCCCCTAAACTTCTCCTGTGAAACACCATAATACTCAAAATGAAGCTTTACCACTAAATCCCTAAGAAATTAGGTAGAAGTGTAGAGGCAAATTTGGGACAATCAAAGATGGGGACGGAGTTGAGGGCGCTGCACAAATAAAATGAATTCTAGTTGACGGAAGAAGTAGAAGCATGTTTGTGGGTGGTCACGCCTCACGCGCCCATATTTTTAGCGAACATGGACGTTTTGGACAGCCCTGCAAACATAGTTCTAATAATAAGACTCCTGCAACCATCCTCTTCTAAAACAAGTTTTGTAGTCTACTTGAACCTCTGAAAATTAACACGGGAAATAACTTGTGGAAAGAAAAGCTTAGTAACATCTTGCAACAATTTAGACAACTGTGAACTGATTTGCAAAAGTAGCTTTGCGCATCTCCAAGGTTGATTCATTTAATGGCTTCTGACTTCAAAGTCAAAAGATATATGCCACTATGTTTCTTCAAAGTAATGGGTTCTGATAAACTTGACCTGTCAAACAAACAAAAAAAGACTTTAGGACTATGTGTGACAGTAATTGTATGTAGTTTATCAATGTTCATTACCCTAAAACTAATGATGCAGTTATCACTATAGATTTAAAAACCGCATAGGTAAAAACTAATGTTTGTTTTTTTTTTTCTCAATCAAGCCTCTTTAAAAGTGGAAGAAACTAAGAACTTATTATAGTAAACTAAAGGAAGACTAAACCCTAATTAAGAGACAGTAATGAGTAACGGATACGATTCATTACAACAGATTGCTGTTGTGCCGGCAGCGGGAACGTTGTTACCGTTTCACCTAAGTGGAATTAGAAATTAAAGAGCTTAGCGGGGCCTTGGTAAATGTTCTTAGTAATTCCGTCAAGAAATTCCTCTTGTAGGCTTTGCAGTCCGGATTCAAAGTTTTTTAGCCGTACAGCCATCTCTTATCTGACAACTTATGTACAGGAAAGAGTGAAAAAAAAAAAGAACAACCTTGACACAACTCCCCGTCATGAACGAATTCACAATGGATCAAAAAGGATAGGAAATGCCAGAGTAGAGCAACAAAACTGTACCTCGAACAAAAAGTAATCTCTGCAGTGTTTTCAACTTCTTCAAGCAAATACTACAGAGTAAATAGGCAAAAGTAACTGATACTCCCGCGCATGGCGATATGCCAAAACAGAAGGTGCATAAGGACAACAGCAATAATGGGGACGAATAATTATAGTTGTTGACCGGCTGCACCGGGTGGCTCGTTTTGTTTCCTTGATGATTCGTATTGTTCGAACTTACACTTATTTTAATTTGCTTATATAGGGTGTTCCGAGTTCTTTACGGTTTTCTGTAACGTAATCGCTGAACTTGCTTACTGTTATCGACGAACTGCTCAGAGAAATTTTTATACTTTTGAGATTTCTGAATATGTTGATATAGAGGATATTTCAGCAAACTATACTTTTATGACCGGGCTTGAATTGTTCAAGTAATATTGGTCCTATTCGTTGGCTAAATTATTAGTATTGTTCCACTTAAACTTTTTGTTTCTAACGATGCTGCATAGTTCGGTGAATCAGAGACTTGTATTGAAATGAGTTTATGTCACCATTGCTAAGTTAAGTTGGTTGATACTGATACCATCATTTGTGTCTATTTCTCACTGGTCTCGATGAATGGGGCTTCATGTTCTCACATTTCGAAACATCGGCGTTTGCTGACTCGAGCATTAACCACAGTCGTCTATTCATTGATATTTCCCGTCGATGATCGCGAGCGAATGCTACAGGTAACAAAAAACCAAATCAGTTTTTTTTTTTCATTTATGGGGTGACTTAAAAGTAGATTTTTTTCGAGCTTGTTTTATTTCAGTAGAGATTAGATGTTGGTCGTAGGCAAGAGTCAGTTCTCAGGATTCGCTTACTAACTTGAGCAAAATGTTTATTTGTCCACTAAGTTATTTAATACATGTTTAAGGAACTCAATTTTGCTTTAGTGGAAATAACGCGCAGAAAAGTTTTCACTGTGCTGGTGAAAATGTGGAGATTAATAAGTACTAGAATTAACAGACTGGAGGTTAAGGAAACAACTGTCGAATCTATCTACTGAATTAGCTAATATGATAGCTAAATAATGCAGTTACCCTAGAGTGTCCTAATAACTAAAATAACCTATACTTGTACTCTTTAAGTCCGTTTTTTAAAATTCCCAGTATTTTATTGATGACACATCTCCATGTAGCCTACTTCGACTTTTTTTTTTTACAGGACTGGTTAAAAATTCACTTAATCTTTTTTTTTTTTTCAAATTATGGTGTCTGGTGTCAGATTCACAGTTTGTCACATTGTGTAGTCCAGCTTTACGTTAATTATCGCATTTGAATAGAAATCTTTTTTTAGAGCGTCATTTAACAGTGCGTTTCTTAAGGTGTCCAGGCTAGCTAAGTTCATAGTCTACGGATAAGCCACCTCTGCAGATTTAAAAAATAGTTTAAGTGGAGAGAATGGAAGTCTTAGAAAACAAAATCATAATTCAATGTTGGACATGTAAGTTTTGAGGTAGCCACAAAAGAGATTTATTTTTTACTGGTTTCAGTTTTCTAAACAAAAAGATTGGTTTCTTTTTTTAGCACTTTTTCCAGTACAAGCTTTACCAATGGCTTAAATTTTGATTCTGCTCTACCGAGTGGTTTTTTAGAAACTGCAGTGTTACGAAGTAACGGAAATAGAGGTTTAGTGTAAGTGGATAGATTTAGGGAAGATCTTTAATATTTTGATCAGTAATTAGGCTGTCGAAAATAACAAGTTGTTTCACAGTATCTCGTTCCATTTAATATGTTTTATTCACTTGTCGTTGCTGCAGCTGTCGCATTTCAGTGTATCTTCCGAAAAACTATTCAAATAATTGGTTTTTGAATAGCGGTTCAACTTCTTATTGTTTGGTCCAACAAAACTCAAAATTGCTGTCACTTGTTAGAGGGCAAAACTAAGTAGAGGAATTTGCATGAAGTAGCGGTTTGTACAATGGTGCTTAAAAAAGAAACAAATTTTTTGAAAGAAATCCGACAGTTTATTACAAGTTTATTCCAGAATTGTATTGTTATTTGGCCAAGTTTTTTTAGAGAGACTTTATTATAGTTTAACTGGTAGAGCATTGACATTTTGAAGCTGAAAAAAGTAAGCTGAGTCGTGTTTTCGTTCGTCCTCAAAATCGAAATAATTTACTGATTAGGTTAATGGGTTATTGGATATTGTTGCTGACAGGAAATAGTGATTTCGTGCCGGCAAATAAGAAAAGAGATTACGAATTACTTAGGATGCTTGAAAAGTTGGAACTCATCAAAGGTTCAGTACATGATCGGAGCTTTATGTGTATTGCAGTATTTCCTTTACTTTGTTAAAGGTTTTGCAGGTTCATTTTTTTAGAAGTGCTTATGCTTTTAAGGCTAAATATGTCCGATGTAAAGCTTGCAAGAGCCGTCTTAGGGTTCTGATTTGTATGTGCTGTGAATGTTCGACTTTTGCTTGTCTCACACATATAAAGAGTCATTTGAAAGAAAAGGGTCATTTATTTGGTTAGTTGAGCTTTTTACAAGTTGCTGTTGTAAAATTAGGATAGTCTGATTTCTTTCCAAACGTTTTGTGAGTCTTCGCTGCTTTCAAATTTCTTTTTATAGTGGAATTTTAATTTTTATTATAGATGTGATGAAAATATCTTCATTCAATTTTAGCATTTTTGGTTGAAAATGGCTTTGTTTATTGCCGTCGTTGTGGAGATTTCGTTTATGACCGGAAAATGGAACAGGGGCGCCAAGAAGCAGAAAATGCATCCCGAAAATCCCTGGGTTTAAGTGCGAGGGTCATGTGGCTACCTGATAGTGCTGCTGTTGAAGCTTTCGCTTGTGACTCAATTTGTCTAACCAACGTGCTTAAAAACAGCAATCGAGGTTTTGAAGTTATTTCTTTCTTACAGTGTTACACTTGAACGTGGATGTTTTTTATTTTCAATGATAGGATATTTCTTATTTGAAATTTTAGTAATAAAGTCGTAACATTGAATTATATAATTTGCAAATTATCAGGACTTCGCGGCTTAGTAAATTTGGGTAACACCTGTTTTATGAATAGCATAATACAAGCGATGATACACACACCGCATCTTAAAGATTATTTTCTGACTGATCAGCATCGTTGTTCGGGCTTTTCGTTGCCAAATTCTCAATGTCTTATGTGCGAGCTGGCAAATACTTTTCAGGCTAGTAGACGTTATAATAATAATAACAGTATAATACTAATAACCATAACAAGAATTTC